ACGAAATAAAATACACCACGTGTTTCTGTATTATTATTCGCTTATAGCGAACTCCGGATATAACGAACCAGTTTTAGTTCATTTTTCAAGTTCGTTATATCCTACTTTTTGCTAAAATTTTAGTCTGCATTTAGACACAGGCGCTCAAGCTTCAGTTACATTAAATTTGTGTGAAACGCTCCCTCATATCATGTGCAGAACGATTGTTAATGAGATTGTGACCAACGAATTTGTGACTATATTGATCCAACAAATCGTTTCTTTTCTGTGGGAAGTCAAAAATCAAGATTATAGCGACAGCATGCCTTGAACTTTGCCAAAACTGCATGTTGATTTTTGATCGATTGTACCCAGTTGAATGTTAATTGAGCATACCAGCGTCCTTTTTACAAGAGAAATTGGCATAACAGTGCAGAATCGCTCGCTGGATATCAGATGGCCCCGATCTCCAATCAAGTATATGAGGAAAGAAGCCACCAGCGACTTTGCTTTGGGCGATTCACATTGTAACCAGCCGAAAAACAGCGCTGAATCAGCTTCGAACTTTCCATTAACAAATTGAACGAAAGAAAGGACGGTTTATATTATTCTTGTGCCTTCTGGGGAGTTTGTGGTAACGAAAACGACACACAATTGGCCGTTTTTCGTAAAGCATTTGCTAATTACACTGCAAGCTTTATATGCAAGAACATCAAGAGAAAACACCAAATTTTTTTCCAAAAATGGTTTTTGATCAAAACAAATAGAGCCTGCCCTATTTTGCTTGGAAAACACGCAGTAAAATTCACGTTATGGGCATTTGATCGAAACGAGCAATGAGCTTAATGTTCCCCAGATGCCTCATTTTGTACTCGATAACGTTAGTATATGTATTAACATTTATGCGACACTTAACTTTTCCTATTAAGGAAGTTTGCGACTGGTATAAGCGAAATATTCTAAATGAAAGACATTCCTAAAGGATTATAAGACTCAAGCTAAATCTGTTTAATAGTCTGGGAAGGCGTCGCTGAGTTTAGCAATTGTCACTTTGCAACAGTTTGTGTTGCTGCAGTTATAAACTGAAGTGGTTTTTCGTATTTAAATGACTAGCGTTTATTTCAAAATATTTTTTTTTCGGCTAAGGCGAGCTTTTATCGAGCCTCATTATTTATTTTAGAGTGGCGACCCGTTTGTTTTGCCGCCGATAAATTTTCCCAAGCGGTTTTTTCAAGATCTACCTGTGGGTGCTGAAAAATTGATCAGCTGGGAATTGCCACATAAATATTGAATTTTCATTAAACGCTCATGCAGCTGCGATATAGATCGCACGCATGAAACTGCCAACTCGTTCCCTCTCAGGCGTCCCATATTCCGAAAAACTCCTTAAAATATTCAGTTGGCCACATATGGGACGCACTAAATGGAATTCTTTGAGTTCGGAATGGCTCCACATCAAATGAGGGGAATTTCACCTTTCGGCTTCATGCCTTTGTCTGGGCTGTTTGGCAAATTCCCGACTCCCTTCTTGTGCCACTGAGAAGAAGGGCAAGTTTTCAAAGAAATGCAAATTTTTGTTTGTACATTTCTCTATAATGAGTCTATAATTTGCTCATCGATCAACATTTCTCTTGTAAGACTGCCATTATCAATGCTCACATATTCGAAGCAATTGAAATCAATAAATTTGGTTTTAACCTGTTCTTCGACAACATTGGGACAACTTCGTCTGTCTCCTACTCGTAGTCAGAGTCTTTATACTTTTCTAAGTTCATAATCATTTTCTTTTCTTACAAATCCCCCATGCCTAAAGCAATTTGCAATGGTTTGTCGGTTAACTTTTTGTCAAGCTCTATGAATGAAATTGACTGCATCTAAGAGATTTATAGAAAATGTTTCATTTTTA